GAATTTCTCAAAACATGGGAGAGGGAGGAGGAAGGAAGGAAGGAAGGAAGGAAGGAAGGAAGGAAGGAAGGAAGGAAGGAAGGAAGGAAGGAAGGAAGGAAGCCTTTGTTTCCTCACCCAGAAGGAATGTCTCTTCCTCTCCATGGCAGGACCATAGAGAGAGGACCATACATAAGGTTGTCAGCTCTGAGCTGGGAAATAGCTGGAGATTTTGGAGGCGGGGCCTGGGGGGGCGAGGGGGAGGAGGGCGCCCCCTCCCCACTGTTGCCAAGAATAACAGAGCATCCCCTTGCCCCGGGCATAAGAGGACACCAGAGAGGGAAGCCGCCCCTCCAGCCCAGCCCTCTCTGTCTGTCACACAGGGGCCAGAAACACCAGGGGCCCTCGGGAGGTCCACCCAGCAGTGGGGCCAGGAGGACACCAGGAGCCCCTCCCCACTCTTGACCGCAGTAGAACAGCTAGATTCGAGTCCAATAGCACCTTCGAGACAGACAAGGTTCTTCAGGCATAGCTGTAATGAGGGAGGAAGCTGTAACTGGAGGGAGCATATAAGGACATAAGAGGAGCCAGTGTTGGGTCAGGCAAAATGGCCCATCTAGTCCAACACTCTCTGTGTCACATGGTGGCCAGCAATACCAGGGGCCCTCAGGAGGTCCAGCAGTGGGGCCAGGAGGACACTAGCAGACGCTCCCACTGTTGCCCCCCCCCACACACACACAAGCACCAAGAAGACAGAGCCTCCCTTGCCCCAGAGCCCCTATCTATACCTTGTGGCTAAGAGCCACTGATGGACCTCTGCTCCATATAAGAACATAAGAGAAGCCAGTGCTGGATCAGGCCAAAGGCCCATCCAGTCCAACACTCTGTGTCACACAGTGGCCAGAAATACCAGGTGCCTTCAGGAGGTCCAGCAGTGGGGCCAGGACACTAGAAGCCCCTCCCACTGTCCCCCCCCCAAGCATCAAGAATAACAGAGCATCCTTTGCTCCAGCCTGAGAGTTCCTATCTAAGAGCCACTGATGGACTTCTGCTCCATGTGTTGATCCCATTCCCTTTTGAAGCCGTCCATGCTTGTAGCTGCCACCACCTCCTGTGGCAGGGAATTCCATGTGTTAATCACTCTTTGGGTGAAGAAGGACGTCCTTTTGTCTGTTCTAACCCGACCGCTCAGCCATTTCATGGAGTGCCCACAAGGAGTTCTTGTCTAGTGAGAAAGGGAGACCTGCTCTATCCCAGGCATAAACTCCAAAAGCTTTAATGCCAGGAGCTCACAAGGTAGAATTTTTGCTCACAGGACTGAACTGTCTGGATTCAGTTTCGATCTGGCAGCCGCTAGGTTTGGGGCCGGAGGGAGCCAGAGCACTTCGGCGGGGCGGGGGTTGCTGTGTCCGCGCCGCCAGGCTTTGGAGGTCCCCGGTGGGGGGAGAGGGGGGGTTACCTGTCATTTAGCAGAGGGAGAGCTTGGCGGGGGTTTGGTCTTCCCGTTTTGCCTCTGGTGAAGCAGATCCTCCTCCAGGAACTGTCTGGATGCAGTTTAGTTTGGATCTTTCCTCCAATTGCTTCAACAAGCCCAAGCTGAGGCACCAGAGGAGGGGAAACAGCTGCCCTGCTCAGAAGTTTTGTTCTTGTCCTTTGGAGGAGCGGGTTCCTCTTCGCTGGTGGCTGCCACGTGCTGAGAGTGACAGGGACGAGTCCCTGGGCCTCCTGAAGATCAGAAGGCCAAGATCAGGCTTTGCAAAAACAACCACAAAGAGAGAGCCAGTCTGTGCCCATGTTTGATTTCGCGGGTACCCTGTTTTGCAATCCTGATATGTGTGACCCACGGGGCCAGGCTTATGTGAACCAGCCAAGTTTGTGGGATGACCCACAAAGCGATAAAAGCTTCCAGTTCACGAAACAAAAGCATGAGAAAGAACAGCCTTCCCCAATTCCTACTCCATGAGATCAGAAGGCCAAGATCAGGCTTTGCAAAAACAACCACAAAGAGAGAGCCAGTCTGTGCCCATGTGAGATTTCGCGGGTGCCCTGTGTGACCCACGGGGCCAGGCTTACGTGAACCAGCCAAGTTTGTGGGACGACCCACAAAGCAATAAAAGCTTCCAGTTCACGAAACAAAAGCATGAGAAAGAACAGCCTTCCCCCAATTCCTACTCCGTACGTGCTTCTGGCTATTCACAAAAGCCCAGCTGTTCCACCTATACCCCCCCTCCCCAGTGCCTCTGACCTGAAGCCAGCACCCAGCAGACAGAGCATCCCTGCCCCAGACAGAGGGACTAATAGCCACTCCGGGGCCTCTGCCCCAGGGGTTCACCCGGCCCCCAAAGGACATTGCTGAGCTGGGGGAAGCAACAAGGCCGGCAGCCACAGTGGGCTTAAGGGCCATGTTTCCCGTTGGTAGGCAGAGACTTCTCCGTTCAGAAAAGAGGTGGCTGACAGGGAACGCAGGAAGAGGGATAGTGAGATTAGGCACCAGGTGGAGGAAGGAAGGGGAGTAGGTGCAGTTCTTCCCCTAGAACTGAGGGGCACCCCTTGAAATGTGTGGGCAGTAGAGGCTGAGGGTGGACGAAAGGAACGGCGTCTTTGCCCAGAATGACGGGATTCGCTGCCCGGTGGTGGCCAGGAGCATAGGTGGTTTTAAAAGGGGGCGAGGTGGATGGAGGAGCGCTCCCTCCATGGTGACTTTGAGCTAAGGTGACCGAAGGGGGCCTCCTCCACCCCCAGAGGCGGTGAGCCGCTCGGTACCAGTGCCAGAAACCAGCATCTGGGAAAGGTTTGTGTGGCACCCTCCAAGGCAGCGGACTGGCCCCTCCTGTGTGTGAGGCGGGGTGCCAGGGGAGACGGACCCTCCCGGGCCGGATTGAGCAGGGCTCTTGCCGTGTCCTTACTGGCTTTCTCTCTCCCCCCCCTCTCCTGGTCTCCTTCGCCGCAGCCCACAGTCGGGGCGCCATGGAGCCCGAGACGCGCAGCGTGCAGATCCAGTTCCCGCATTACGCGGCGGTCCTGCTGGAGTCGCTCAACAAGCATCGCCTGGAGGGGAAGTTCTGCGACATCTCCATCCACGTCCAGGGGCGCGTCTTCCAGGCCCACAAGAGCGTGCTGGCGGCCTCCTCGCCCTACTTCCACGACAAGCTGCTCCTCAACGACACCAACTGCATCGTCCTGCCCAGCGTCATCGAGCCCGACGCCTTCGAGAACCTGCTGCAGCTCATCTACTCCGGGCGCCTCAAGCTGCTCCTGGAGGCCCTGCCCAGCCACCTGCTGGTGGCCAGTGGCCTGCAGATGTGGCAGGTGGTGGACCAGTGCTCGGGCATCCTGAAGGAGCTGGAGGGGGGGCCCTGCCGGCCGTGGCCGGGCCGGGCCAGCGAGAGCCAGTCGCCCAGCAGCAGCAACTACTTCGGGGCCCGCGAGGAGGGGGAGGCGGCGAGCAGCGGGGAAAGGCCCGGGCGCCGCATGCAGGACGGCTGCCCGGATGACGAGGTGCTGAAGATCCGGGTGCCCCACGACGATGACGACGAGGAGGAGGAGGAGGAAGACGAGGAGGAGGAGCGGCAGGCGCCCATCTGCAGCGGCTCCACGGACAGCCCGGTGAAGGTCATCCTGGATGAAGGGGAGGACGAGGGCTGCTCGAAAGGGCCGGGGGAGGCCGGCTCTGCCCCCCACGAGCCCCCCAAGATCTTCTACATCAAGCAGGAGCGCTTCGACGTGGAGGAGGCGACCCCTTCGGTGCTGGCCGGTGGCCCGGGCTTCTCCGAGACCGGCTTCTTCAAGTCCCTGGGGCGGCCGCTGGGCATGCCCGAGGTGCCGGGGCTGTGCCAGGCGGAGATCCAGGAGACGGGCGAGGTGAGCTACATCCTCCCCAGCGGGGCCTTCTCCTCCGCGGCGACGCCCGGCTTCTCTGGGAAGGGCCAGCCCCTCTCCTCGGACTCCTCCTCCTCGGCGGCGCCCTTCCCGGAGAGCTCCTGGAAGCCAGTCGACCTCCATGGGAACGAGATCATCGCCCACGCCGTCCACGGGCAGGTGGTGCACGCCCCCGTCAAGCTGATGTCAGCCCCCGACGGGAAGAAGTTCGGCTGCCTGTGCGGGAAGCGCTTCGCGGTGAAGCCCAAGCGGGACCGGCACATCATGCTCACCTTCAGCCTGCGCCCCTTCGGCTGCTCCGTCTGCAACAAGAAGTTCAAGCTGAAGCACCACCTGACGGAGCACATGAAGACCCACGACGGCAACCTGTACGCCTGCGAGGACTGCGGCCGCAAGTTCCGCGTGCAGAGCTGCTTCCTGAAGCACAAGGAGCTCTGCAAGGGGCAGGGCTGGGCCACCGCCTGCTGGACCTACAAGTAGGGAGGGGAGGGAGCGGGGCGGCCGCCGTCTCCTCGCCCTGTGGCCGGGGAGGGGGGAGAGGGACGGAGAGGCCCTCCTGCCTCTCCGCCGTTGCTCGGCTCCCGGATCCTTG